CCGTCCGGCACGCTGGCCCACCCCATGACATTAAACAGAGAGACCCCGGTTCTTGCACTAAAAATCAAATGCAGAGGAAGGCCAACCAGTAGGGGGCATCGGAGGGTGTGGGAGGACCGGCTGGGCATTGCTGCCGGCTGGCAACCTCCCTCTGCGCCCAGCCCGCCATGGCAGGAAAGCGTCTCTGGCTGTCTGAATGTTCAAAGAGAAGCAGATGCCCCAGCAGGGGGCAGCGGCTGGGCGAGACAGACACTGGCCCACGTGCTAGGAGTCGCTGATGGGGCTGGCTCCAAGCTTACCTGGAGAGGTAGTGCCCAGAGGACTCCGAGCCTTCCACGTGCTTGTCGTTGCAGTTCACCATGCTCTGGATGAGGGTGAGGTCAGGCCGGATGTACATGGCGCTGGAGATGGCCCGGGATACCAACTCCACTGCGTCCTGGATGAATTGCTCCAACGTGGGGCTGTTGACCTCCCCGTAAGCCAGGAGGCCCAGGGGCAGCCCCTCCGTCTGCAGCTCGTCCACATTCAACGGGTGCCCCAGCATCCAGTGAAAGTCCTGCAGCATCAGGCCGGACGCCGAGGCCGCCCTGAACACCAGCCGTGAGAGGCGGGCGTCACAGCCAAAGAGCAGCACCGGGCCGGCCTGCTCCTTGAGCTCCTCCAAGTGCTGGCGGAGGTAGCGGGCGGCGCCCGGCTCGTCCAGGTAGCTCAGGTCCAGGATGGTTCTCAGGAAGAGGTCGGTGTTGCTGGTCCAGAAATCCAGGAAGCCAGAAACGTCCCAGGCGTGGCACAGCACCAGGGTGATCTCGTGCCAGTCGTTGGTCTGCAGGACGCTGTCCAGCACGTCCACCAGGGTCTCCAGGGGGCTCTTCCGGTCCATGAGCAGGTGGAAGGGATTCTGCAAGCCCAGAGATGACGAGTGAGATTTACTTATTGGTCTTTATATTAGTGGCAGCTGAAATTGGGGGCCCCACTGCGCTAGGCGCTGTACGTACCTATAAGATATGGCTGTACTGTAATCAGGGGGTGTGACAGCGGCTCATGTGGACACACCAGAAACTCAGTGTCATCTAGAGGCATTTCTCCTCCTCTGCCCATCTACTGAACTTCCCTCCCAAAGATCTCAGAGCTTCCCTCCTGGCCATTAGGTAAGGGAGACATGGGGATCGTTTCCTCCCACCACTAAAGTGCAGCTACCTCAGGAGTGGAACGCAGCAGCTGTTTTAACAGCTGCCCAGAAAGGCTGCCCCGCCGGTTAGGACAGGAAGGGCCAAACTGAGATGAAGTTACAAGAGGAACTTTAGGGAGGCAGCGTTTAATGACCGAGGGAACTGGGGTCACCATGCTAAAAAGGACCAGGGTATGCCCAGCGCCCCCTCATGCCGCATGAGGGTAGTGCGGGCACTCATGCAGCCTGGACCTCTTGTCCCACCTGCTCATGACGGTGAAGTGAGCCTTACCACAGGACTAGGAGGGTGCCTCTGTCTCCAAACAGGGTGGATAAGTTATTTCCAATTGATGGGGGAGGGAAGGCTCCTGTGAATTCACCATGGGGGAGGGGTCTGGTGTGTCGACTGGCTATTCTGGGGCATGGAGGGCATTGGTCTCTGCTGGGCTCTGTCCCATTATCCTATGGCCTCTGGACCAGTGGCTTTGCGTGCATTTAAATCTAAAATGACACCCGGGAATAAAACCCACCACAGCGCAGGGTCTGCTTCCTCCCGGAGACCGCCTATCCCAAGCTCCTGCCTGCACCTGGGACCCTGCCTGGGCTGATCATAAACGACGCTGCTGCAGCCGGCCCTGACTCACGCCAAAAATAAAACTCCGGTCAATTCACAGAGGAAATGGACAAGGAGGCGAGTGGCCAGGAGAGGGCACCAAATCCAAGAGATCAGAGGGAAGGCTTCAAAGAGGAGAAACAGTTCCTCAGGGGTTCTGGCTCTGCTCCCAGTCTCACTAAAGGGGTGTGGGTGGAGGGGGTGTCGCACACTTTGCTGGATAGTTGGCCGCCGTCATCAAAGTGGGAGCTGTGCAAGGAGGACCTCTCACGTGTCCACAGAGTGTTTGAGCATATGCTGAGATGCAGCTGCCTCTGGGGTGGAACTCGGCTGCTGTTTAACAGCAGACAGCAACACTGCATAAGCGTTTAGGGCAGGAAGGGAAGGATCCAGCATCCAATTAAAACTGCCGAAGGGAAGTTAGGGGGGTAGAATGGAAATACCTAATGTGGCACAGACCCAGAGCAGCGATCTCTCTCTCTCTCTCCCCTACACACACACACCATTATCCAGATCCCTTCATAAAAAGTTTTAAAGAAAATTCTAATTTCATCACTTCCTGTGCGGGGTAAATTCAGCCGGGAGCACTGGGCAGGATGTTAACTTCATCCCCTTACACAGATCAGGGAGCTTCACCCTGGGAAGCGACTCTTCTTCCGTACACCAGGTGGAAGCTGAGCTGTAAATGCACCCTCACACTGCATGATCATTAACTATTTAATGATCAGGGCCCTGTTGTGTCAGGCATTAAGAACATAAGGAATGGCCAATGGGTCAGACCAATGGTCCATCTAGCCCAGTATCCTGTCTGCCGACAAAAAGCAACAGAGGGTCCTGTGGCACCTTTAGGACTAACAGAAGTATTGGGAGCATAAGCTTTCGTGGGTAAGAACCTCACTTCTTCAGATGCAAGTCTGCCGACAGTGGCCAATGCCAGGTGCCCCAGAGGGAATAAACAGAACAGGCAATCATTGAATGATCCATCCTCTGTCGCCCATTCCCAACTTCTGGCAGTCAGAGGTTAGGGACACCCAGCGCATGGAGTTGTCTTGGCTAATAGTCATTGATGGACCTATCCTCCGTGATTGTTCAGACAGGCCCAGAAGAGCTTAGAATCTAAATCACCAAGATAAAGGAAAGATCATCCCTACTTTACAGATGGAGAAACTGAGGCACAGAGCGGTCAAGTGACTTGTCCTAGGCCAGGCAGGGAGTCGATGGCAGAGGAAGGACTCAATCCCACAGCCATGGAGGCCCAGCCCAGCAATCAATCCACAAGACCTGCTTTCCTCTTGCTCTTTACCCACCCATGTTCACACCCCTTAGAGGGGCATGACTGGAATGCAACAGAACATGGAAATTTAAAGACTCAAATCTGCAAGGCACTAAGTGCCCCTACTTCCAGTGGAGCTCCAAGTGATTCTGAGATGTTCTTTGGTCAAACCCATCCATAGCTCATACCCACAATACAAGGGAAGGGGAGGAGAAAAAACTTCTCTCTTGTGGCATATTGGAAATGATGTTAAAATTACAAGCTATCCCTTTAGGTGTTGGGGATTTCCTGGTTCTGCTTGCAGGCTGGGGGCTCTGTAGGAAAGCATGCCAGCTTGGTTCCAGCAATTAGTCTGCAGAGAGACAGCCTAGAGTGAGGCGGGATGAGCTGTGCCGCTCTGTTTTTAGGGAGCAGCCTGCTTTGTCTCTCTCTGTTTTTAGGTTCTTTTGCGTTATTGTTCTGAATTTTAAGAACTAAAGTCTTGCGCTGTTGCAACCTTCCAGCAAGAGGATTGTATGGTTTTATGGAACTTCTCTGCGTCCGTGCTGGGAACATAACAGCATTGATCTACACCTCCATTTACACCTTTAGACACAAGGCAGAAGGGAGCCAGCTGTCAAGGCTGCTCTCCTTCAGAAGCTAGTAGTCTGGTCTCAGTATCTGAACAGGAACTAGCACTGATGTCAAGCCTGCTGCACGGGAGGAAGAGATCAGTAAAGAAACGGTAAGAAAGAAAGCAGTCAGGTCCAATAATTAGGGATTATTCCCACTGATAGTGAAGTAACCAGGGCTTGATGTGGTTGGTACATTTCACTCCAGCTCATACCCATTCTCTCTATAGATACCCACATCAGGCAGTGGAGAGATTATGTGGCTAGAGCAGGAGGATGGTACCAGGACTCCTGGGTTCCATTCCCAACTCTAGGAGGAGAGAAATCTAGTGATTAGAGAAAAGGGAGTAGGCACTAGAACTTCTTGATTCTGTTCTCAGTTCCAGGAGGAGAGTAAAGTCTAGTGGTTAGAGTGGGGTGGGAGGATCAGGCATCAGGACTCCTGGGTCCCTGTTCTCTGCCCACAGCTTGTGGTGTGACCTTGAGAAAGCATTCCAACCTCTCTTCGATCCTCAGTTTGTAGGGATAATACTGCACCAGCATCTCACGGGACTGCTGGGAAGCCTAACGTGAAGGTGGCAAAGCAAAGCTCTTAGAGTTCCTCGAAGGAAGAGGGCAGAATATTTGTGTAAGCAAGAGGCCAGCCTGGTCAGCCGTGGGAGCTTGGTTTGCCTTTACAAGGTACCGCCAATGCTCTCTGTACTGCACAGCCATACTTGAATATTGTGCTGCCCCAGCTAGCCTGGGTCTAAGCGATTAGAGCAGGGGGTTGGGCAGCAGGACCCCTGGGTCCTATCCCTGGCTGTGCCATGCCCCAGAGAATTTACAATCTAAATTAAGTACAATATGGACAGGAAGATACATACGGGGGGGTCTAGGATTTTGTTCATAATTATATCTATGGAGAAGCAGTGTGGTTTACAGGCCCAGGACTCAAGAGCATATAATAGAATCTCAGGGGTGGAAAGGACCTCAAGAGGTATCTAGTCCAACCCCCTGCTCAAAGCAGGGCCAATCCCCATTTTTTTTTTGCCCCAGATCCCTAAATGGCCCCCCTCAAGGATTGAACTCACAACCCTGGGTTTAGTGGGCCAATGCTCAAACCACTGAGCTATCCCTCCCCCCGTGAACAGCGTGTGTTAGGTCATCATCCGAGACTTGCAACGCCGGCTACAGAAGCGCCATGCAAATGCCTGTTCTCACTTTCTGGTGACATTGTAAACAAGACAAGGGCAGCATTATCTCCTTGCACATCATTCTGTAATATCTCAGTAAACACCTTAAACAAAGCCTCGTGGAAGCTTCCAACAGCAGCAGGGTTTGCTTTGCAAGTTATCCTTATCGACAAGCATATTGATTCAAACATGTAATGGTTAAAGTGAGGTTTGCCTGGGTTCTATCCCCAGCTCTACCTGCTGTGTGACCTGAGATAAGTTTCTTAGTCTTTCATGCCTCAGTTTCCCCTCTCTCTGTGTCCGTCGCATCTATTTAGACTGTAAGCTCTTCTGGAGCATAGACTGTCTCTCACTGCACATCTAGATCTCCAACAGCCAGTGATGGGACGCTAGGTGGGGAGGACTTTGAGTTACTCCAGAGAATTCTTTCCCAGGTGTCTGGCTGCTGGGTCTCACCAACATGCTCGGGGTCTAACTGATCCCCAGATTTGGGATTGGGAAGGAATTTCCGCCCCCGATCAGATTGGCAGAGACCAGGGGGGAGGTTTCACCTTCCACTGCAGCATGGGACACGGGTCGCTTGCAGGTTTAAACTAGTGCAAATGGTGGATTCTCTGTAACTTGAAGGCTTTAAACCGTGATTTGAACGTCAGGGACTCAGCCAGAGGTTAGGGGTCTATTTCAGGAGTGGGTGGGTGAGGTTCTGGGATGTGCAGGAGGTCAGACTAGAGGATCATGATGGTCCCTTCTGGCCTTTAAGTCTATACAGCATGTAGCAGCACTAGGGTGACCAGACAGCAAATGTGAAAAATTGGGACGGGGGTGGGGGTAATAGGAGCCTATATAAGAAAAAGACCCAAACATCGAGACTGTCCCTATAAAATCAGGACATCTGGTCACCCTAAGCAGCACCTCTGGGCTCGAGTGTAATAGAAATAAATAAATATCCCGATAGTTCCCAGAGCTCAGCTGTCCTATATGCATAAATAGTAACATCAACTCCATGCAAAGAAATATTAGACCCTGTCCAAATTGACATGCATCAATTGGCTTCCTCTTGGGTCCTGGGTCACTTTTTACCCTCCCTGTGCGTTGCATCCCCGTCAGCCCACAGAGGCTGCAGGAAAAGGTTTCTGAATCAAGGGAATGCCAGGGCATTAATAAAGCAGCGATCCTTAAAGCAACCAGCAGAGTCATTCCTGTAGCATTAATAAAATTCACACACACACCCCCACCTCCTCTGCTTTACAAAGCCTTGTGTGTGATGGAAATAATTCACCATAATAAAAGCGAGAGAACAGTGGGCACGGGAGGCAGGCAAAGATGAGGGCTGAGATAGGGGAGAGCTGAGTGGCGGGTCTGTTGCTTGTTGTGATGCGTTATCGCAGGGTATGGTCTGGCTATGGCTCCACTCTGAAATAGATTCCTCCTGAGAGCACAAACTCTGCTGTTTGCCGGGTAACTGACCGACTTTACATACAGCTCCTGTGGAGATGCAGCCACCTCTGGGGTGGGAAGCAGCAGCCAGCACACAACACTGGGGACATTTAGGCCAAGGGAATAATCTTACAAAGAGCGCCTGGGGATCAGTGATTAAGGTCTCATCTGAAAGGCCCTTGGATGGTCAGTACAGATATCTACAGCCCTGCTGGGATCTGCCTGTTGACCGGGGCCTTAGATTTTTATACTACAAACATCAGCATGTTCTCTAATCACCTTCCTCACTTGAACCTGCCTCGTGGCAAGAAGCCTGGAGCACGGTGCTTCTTCGTGTTACACAAACTCACACCCAGCACTAAAGCCACGAGGCTCAGGAACGCACGTGCCCTAAAGTGAACTTCTCCTTCGCACGGGGGGTGTTTTCCTCCAGAACCCTGCTCCCTACCCCCTCTCGCTACTGCAATTAATACTGCTCTCCCGCATGTGCCTGGGGGTGGTGGGGAAGGACCTGGGAAGGAGGCTAGCCTGGCTTGCGAATAAAGTGACCCCGAACTATAAATATTCCCCCTGATCGATGGGTCTGAACTTGGCTGTGATTAAACCTCAAAACCACTGGGACCTTCTAGGTGGCTGAAGTATTGACCAGCCCTTCTGAGTCATTCCAGAGACAGGATCGAGCTGGGGCAAGGCTCCAGGCGGGAAGGAAGCGCAAGGTAGCCAGGAGAACAGAAAGCAGAGCCTCCAGGGACCCCTCCAGGCCCTCCCCAGCCTCCCTGCCCACCCAGCCACGCTCCAGGGTGGCAGGCCCAGGGGAAGAGGCTTCCAGTTGCAAGTGCGGATTTGCAGCCAGGAGTCTCTTCTGCTCCTTTGCATACAGAGCAGATCCCCCCCCCCTTAAAAATAGTCCCTACAACAAACCCTCCCCCAGCTGCAGTGCTGCTGTTGGACACCCCGAACAGCCCCCCCCCCCGCTTACAGACAACCAGGGCTCATGCTGGGGAGGAGAAAAAGGTCCAACTGCAGCTTGCACTGGGAGTTGGAGGGGCTGGATTCATTGGGCAAGGAGCCCCCCCCCCAAAATCCTCTTCCTGCCAGCAGGGGAATTACTACAGGAGAAGCGGGGTGTCTCCCCCCCCCAGCTGGCCTAGCCCTTGTGTGGCCAAGGAGCCCCCCCAGCTGCAGAGCTGCTGTTGGACACCCCGAACAGCCCCCCCCCCCCCTTAAAAATAGTCCCTACAACAAACCCTCCCCCAGCTGCAGAGCTGCTGTTGGACACCCCGAACAGCCCCCCCCCCCGCTTACAAACAACCAGG